CTCACTGATGGCAAGAGTAGATAATGGGGTAGGGGGAATGTCTAACTGCCTATTAGTGCCAGTGATATGTGCGCGTAGACAATCAAGGTTTATTTTTTAACATTTCCACATACCTTATTTAGTACCTTTTGTGATAATATTTATTCCCGTCTCATGCCCAAACTGGGTGGGTGTATTCCCAATCTGGGCAGTTAAATTATTATTTCACTGCCAGTGTGGTTAAATCAAGAGATGAACTGAGAAGTCTACATGGTCTGAACAGACTATACCATCCCCTTTCTCAAAGTTTAAATGGATTTTGTATTCCTAGACAGATTTCTTGATTTGTGGTGTTTAATCTTGACTCATAAAAAGCTCTTCGTCCATCCTCTTTTTGAACCAACTTAAAATTAGGATAATCATTAAGGTAAATGACATTGAGTATGTGGTTCATGTGCAAAATTCAGCGTGGCATGTTTACTTCCAATGACTTAGAGAGGCAGGTTTTACAGCTTTCTAAGAAGTTTTCATTGGATTCGCCCATGTATCATTTTTGTCCTGGAATCCATCCCATTGAATATCAGCAAGTTAGACAAGTAATTAATTTTGTTTTTGATATTGAGCGTTCATAGAACTCAAGAACCATTTCTTCATGTTGCTTCTGTTCACGTCTACTTTGGTTCAAGCTAGCTGCGAAGTGTAGTATAGAAAAAAAGAAGCTAAGGATGTTGTCATGTGTCTAGCTTGTGTATGTTTGAAATGTAACCTACAGCATCCAGCCAACAGAACAGCTTTGGAAAGTCCTTCAATGAAAAAAGCTTGTCAACAGAGTGTCACATGCCGGCTTAACTTACATTTCACCAGCAAGCAATGGAAGAAAGAGAACGAACCAACAAAATGATTGGATAAACCTACAGAAGAAAGTTAACAAAACAGACGTTACGTTGGATGAGGAGCAGAGTGATGAGGTACCATCTATTACATCTTATCTACAGGAGAAACATACTGAGGAGTAGGAAAAATTATTTGCTGTAGGTATCAGCATCATTGAAAAATAAATATATCCAAAGAAAATGTGGGTGAGAAGCATGATGCTTGTTACGTAACAATGGATGTCTAGAAGAAATATTTAAACAAACAGTCAGAAGTGCAACAAATTGCACCAAGACCAGAAACTTGACAGTATGTTTAAATTTTCTAAAATATTATAAAAAATTCTACTTAGGCAGGGGAAAGAGAAGAGCATGATTACCATGCAAATTGATCAAGAAAAAGACACTTTCATTGTTCAATGCTTTTGTATCATTACCCCTAACTGTGTACATGAGGAGTCCAGTAGCAAATAAGGCTCTAAAGTCTTTTGGCATTCTGCAACTCTCTTGTTCTACTCTACAAGCTTATACTGGAGCTGAGCCTGGCTCAAGTAGCATTTGCATTGAGAAACATGTAGCTGAGTTTGTACTTCACTGTCAGAGAAGAGTAATGAAAGGAAAGAAAGAATCTAAGACTGATGGTGTTTTGATTTTTGACAAGGTCGAAGTCATCAGCCGCTTAATGTGGAATTCTAGAAGTCAAACCTTAATGATGCTGAGCATGACTCATGAACAAATGGCTTAATACGCGATATCGTTCAGACTGTTGATGAAGGTAGTGTGGCTCAAAGTAGTCACATTCTTAAATTTTTTTGCAAGTCTTGACAAGTACATTTGACATCATAAGTCCATATTTTACAAGTGCCAGTACGATAGACAACAAGTTTACTCTATCCTGTGTCTTAGAAACTATTAAATTATTTCAAATTGATTGTCTTTCAACTTCACTGCTACTTTGTGATGAAGCATATAGCAACTTATGTCTAATTAAAGCCTCTCACGGGACTTCAGGTGTATATCTAATTTTGAATGGTGAGCATAAATGATTTATATTGACAAGCAATGTTGCATTTTTTAAAATATAATAGGTGACACTGAGCCATATGCTGTTGAGCCATGTATGATCAACCAATTCAACCCATGACATCTTATTTTTGGGTAATAATATGTCCAACTCATCCAATAATACACAACCCCGTATTTTAACTCTTATTTTAAGCCTTCATTTTAGCTGAAGAGTATGATCAGCGCTATCTTCCACTGAAGAAGGTGGTACTAAAGCATTTCATATGAAGAAAAGGATGTTTCGTTGGAAATCAGTATCAAGCAAGAAAGTTTGAGCCAATGAAGCATGCAACAAGATATTTGAAAATTGATTTTTGTGTCACAAACGAATCGTTAGCAGTGACTCATAGGTACTGACATCTATCAATGATCACTACAATTTTTACCTTATGGGTAGCTGAGATTTTAAATAATGGCTAATGAATATAAAATACATATTTGTACAACTATCTTCATTTTTGACCCCACTTTCCAAATAAGCAATGTTATTGAAAGAAAATATTGTCTTTGCACAGTAAAAAAAGAATTTACATAGCAATTGCAATCTTTTGCGGATAGATGTAAATGGATTATTATCTTGGCAGAGTGAGAAAATAATCTACATAGCAATTGCATTACTCCTTTCATATTGTGGCTATTGATCTTTTGCGGATAGATGTAAATGGATTATTATCTTGGCAGAGTGAGACAAAAATTTACATAGCAATTGCATTACTCCTTTCGTATTGTAGCATTTGATCTTTTGCGGATAGATGTAAATGGATTTAACCAGTTTTGTAAGTACTTCCTCACTAAGTATCCTTATCCGGGTTATTTTATTTCACCTCTGATGATTACTTGTTCTGCAGTTGAAACTTTATTTTGTCAGTATGAATAGAGTGCTAGAGGCAAGCTAGATGCTACAAGTTACTCTCATACCCGAGCTTTGTCCCTTGTAAAGCAGATAACTGCTACACACCATAGTGGCAAAGATTATAGGGATGGCGAATTGGCTGTTCCCTCTCTAAAATTGTCAAAGCAACAATATAATAAAATTTAGATCTAATAAAATACAGAGTACAAATCAAAACAATAATTATTAACTTTAGAATGAATATTTAAATGCTGACTTAGTAATTGATCGCGTAGATTTTGACTGGTAAGTGATGACTGCCCTTTGCCTCAACCGATTTTTGTTGCAGTGAGGATAAGATTTTCTGAATTCTCATATTGCACAATTTATGTAGCATGTCTTTATACAGGCTGTTTCTCAATATAATTTTCTATAGTCAATTTATTTTCTAAAATGTGAAGGAAGGTACTTTGGAGTTGTGTTTTTCCAGCAGCAAGAACATGAGCCATTTGAAATAGAAGTCTTACACAGCAAACTGAGTCCTTCTGAACTATGTTGTATAGGGGAAGATACATGGCCATATATGTTACAAGGACATAGTTTGACAGTGGCTGTAATCAGAGTCTGTTTATCACTGTAATGACGCACTATAAAAACGGCATACTGCGATAACTGGTCATCTATGCATCAACCATACACTGTGCAGGGTCATCCATACACTCTGCAGGTCATCTAAGATCGTCCATACACTCCAGGGTCGTCTAGGATCGTCCATACACTGTGAAGCTACCGTCTGTATACGTCCGCCATAACCTTAATAACTTCGTTTAATTAACTATTTATACAGTTAACTTTTAAAAATATAATAATATTTATTATTAGTTATGATCATCAGAGCCTTCTAACTTTTGTAGAGCATCAGAAACAGATCCTCCTGATGGTCTGTAGTGAGGTAAAGGTAGCCCTAACCAATGTAACATATAGATAATTAGTTAATTATAGTATTTGAATAATTTAAACTAACTTGATGTTGCAGGGACAGGAACTGGAGTACAATTCGTATTAGATTGGGGTGTAACCACTGAATGCCATAAAAGTATGCCATAATGACATAAACTGAATCAATACCTGGTGAAGCATTTTCATTGTTCATAGGACTGACAGACATTGTCATTGCACTTAAAAATAAATAAAGTTAATGCAAGTAATGGTATGGATCTATACTGCAACAAATTGGATGGCGACGATTTGGAGTTGTGAACCTACCATAAAGACCAAATTCATTGGTTAGTGATGATTATACCTGAGTTTGATAGCCTCATAGATGAAGTATTGCTGATGCTTGTTGGAGTACATATAAGACCTATCAGAAGTTCATGTAAATTAACTGTAAAATTGTCTAACATTTACTTGACCAACATGAAGAAAGACTATTGCAAGGAGAAACATGTGTGTGAAAGTAAAATTCAGAATAAGTTCATATAATTGTACTTGCTGAGTTTGATGGCAGAAAAGCAATACTGCTAAAACCTATACAATTAAAAATCAACAAAACCACAGCTTGTAATACCTAAGCTGTCACTACTTGATGCTGAAGTAGATCTTAGAACAACAGCTACAAGGAATAAAAGTAACAAAAGTAATTATATGATCAGTATTATTACATGAGGAAGTTGATTTAGGACCTATTGCGCAGACAGGAGCATTTTTGGGTGGGTTGCTTGTAGAACTCTGTGACAATTGCCTTTCAAATCGCTGAAATCCTGTTCTCCTAGCACCTTTTGTTTCATTGTTTTAATGCGCTCATCTAGTTTTTTTATTAAATTGTTCAGTGCTAAAAAAAGTGACATAGCTAGTATGGAACTGCAAAACTACCTCTTGATCTCCAACTTGGTTGGTGAATATTATAAAATGTAGCCCCTCCTTCATCAGAGAATTTTTTTTGACATATGTGACCCGATATGAGAAAACCAGGCTATCTGCGGGATTTTGGTAAAATCAGTTTTTGGTACTCACAGATAGAGAAAAAAATTTCCTTTCCAGCAATATCCCGTTTATGACAATGCGCATTAAAATTTGAAAGTTAGGGACGCTGTTTGGACAATTGCTCTGGAATACTAGTACAGAGAAAAAGCCATTTTATGTTATTTTCAATGTTTCCGTGTCATGCCCGTTCACGAAGTAAATGAAACCACGCCCACCACGTAAAACCACACCCAAATCAATTAATAAACGGGGAATGAAGAAAGATGCACTTTTGACTCGCTTTTGACAGCATTTGAACTATCTTTTCTTGTATAATGGACAACTTAAGAGTTGTCTAAAGCCCTGCCATTCATGGTGACTTCAAATACTAGTAAGTTTTTTCATTACCAAGTTATAGAGTTATTATTACGTCTTCTAGTGCTAAAAGTCCTTTTTATGGACTGTTTTGAACACAGATCATCCACATACTTCATTCAAATCCAGCCATCGCTTTTCCTTGAGTTTACAGGTAATATATATATTATTTTTATTTA